ACTGACACGCCCCTAGTAACTGGTCAATAAACTAACGAGAAAATTGTTTACTGTGGGTAATTTCGCATTCAAAACAGAACTAAACCTAATATAGTCATTCATCATTATCCACTGATTCAAGTGGGATAAGTACAGCTGTCGGGATCAAACAGTGCGCTTCGCCTACGTCACTTTTTTGCAGATTGAAGGAAAATAAATGCGCATATGATGTCCTGTCTGACAGGAGAACTGACTCTGAAACAGAAATACTCAACTGCGCAGACGTACGTGGCATGGAAACATCGGCTGACTCTCAGTTCTCCATTGGCTTTTTTATGTTTCATAGTGATTCATAGTTTATATGGAATTTTGTATGTTGGTCGGGTCATTGGTCACACGCCCATAGTATCAAATATTATGTGGACAGCTTCAACTGTGAAAACATTTTTAGTAGCGGGTAATGTCTTTGAACAGCACTCGGCATGACGTCACTTCTTCAAGGTCGAGTCAGACAGACCGAATCCGCTCAGTCAGACAGTAAACAAACGACATTACCGACACGGGAAATGACACAGAGAACCACAAAGTACTTACCGCCAGTGGGAAATTACGTTTACAGAATGGAGGGATTTTGATTTCTCATTTTCTGACCCTCCCACACCTTTGATCGCCTTGCCTTTTACGTTTTAGTACTAATGCACGCGGAACGTATGGATTCGTCCCGACTGCAGTACGTCGTATCTGAAACTGCATTTATCGGATCTCCGACTGATCGATATACGCATTGACCCCTAAATATGAAATTATATTGCGGAAATAACGCTGGCAGAAAATGTTTATTTAAAATAGAACATGACATTATACAGTGAGCGTAAACGAAATATTGATTTACTGACGAAGCTACCAATATTTAAAATGCAAGTTTTATCCCTCTTTCAGCATTGAAAATTTGATGACTCTTTTCTGTTTACTATGAGCTCATACACCATATGTTACGATAATTTTAAGCGGTGATGTCCGGTGACGGTAGTGGCCAATTCTGGGGACCACCACCGATACATCGGTCAAGGAACTGGTCGTTCAGATATTCCTTCACGTATCGACTAAAGTACCGGGTGCCCCGTCACGCTCGAAGTAAACCTGTAATCGTGTATTGTATCGTTCAAGTCACACGAAGGACCCCGGTGTTCTGCGTGACATCCAAATACTCTGTAATTTCCTATATTTGTTGCTCACACACCGATGAGAATCGGACTTGTGTTCATATGACATTTTCGAATTTGAATAACCTCAGGTATAAGATCCTGAATTATTGGCGTAAAGTCACCGGACTCTATGTATAAGTAATAAAACAGGTACGCATTAAGAAATATATGCGTTGGGTAAAAGGGGCATAAAGCTGTCAAGTAAGGAACGAGAAGAAGATTATATTTTATTAAGCAATAACTATCTCCAAAAATAGTTAATTACAACAACAAAGCATGTAATTGGTTAATAAAGTTTCCTTTGTTGACCGGCTCGAGGTGGTTTAACGCAGTCATAGAAGTTTCACAAATAAACATTGACTCCATCAACTGGCCATCCCACACACCAACACAAGAGTATTTATAAATGAATTTTAAAATGTCGGTAAGATTTCATGTTCTCACCGTGTAGTCTGGTATAAGTTTGCCTACGTTTCAGAGGTGTATGCTGCCTCCATCTTGAGGGCAAAATATGAAAAGTGAACGGTTATAAATAAGCAATAATAGTTGTAAAAGACGACTGCATCACAAAAGACGAGAAAAAATCGAATCTGATTAGAACTTCCTCGCATAAAAACTCAAAATTTATTCACCAAGTGCAATATTGCTTCGGATCTGACTGTTAATTCATAGCAGACATCCTGTGAAAGCTCGTAGTTTCATCCAGATACGAAATGATTTACAATATGAGATTCTCAATGGTGAATTCATTAATTTACACTAGGCTTGGCTTGACAATAAATCTCTAATTCACAATAACTTGATAATCAACTTCCTTAGTAAGCTATATAATAACAGAGTAAGCTGTATAATCTGTTACAAATATATCATATACTGATGTCTAGTTTCTCTGCTTTACGTCATTGTAGGACAAGTACACGTGAACCATCTGGAGAGAAGCAAATGTTAAGGTTGGCTTTGAACTTTACACCTTCCATCTTACCAATTTCTCACCCCACAGTTCTCCTTCCTTGCTTTATTCTTTTTCACATTTACCACATTTCGCCTTTCATAATTTGACAGCCGAGCATAACTAAATGAGACACAAATTGAGATTTCCACGGCGATGAGTCCGAAGATGGCGGGCTTCTGGGTTGTTGCGCCGTGTAGTCTGGTAAAAGTTTACCGACTTGTCAGAAAATAAGAAACCATTGCACACGTCCATGAAGTAAGTAACCCGCTTAGGTTTATTTTCTCATCAGTATTTCATTATCTCAAAGAATAGAAAGTATTATGATTTTGTGTCATAGCTCATTTTGACCAACTTTTTACAACCATAAGCCCTTTTTTCCCGTAACATGACAATTATTTGTTAGTACAGCATTTACAGGTTCACCTAAATCAGAAATAGACATATTTTACGTCGGAAACCGGTTCTAAAATGACCGGAAGCCAGTAAGACTTACAAGAAATAAGAAAAGAAACTTCGAAACTGTTGAACATCTGTCACTCATTCCTGTCGTCCTTGAGGGACCAACGAAAGTGAAAAGACAGAGACTTATTCCCTTTAAAGCTCAGTAGTCAATGAGTTCTGCCTGCTTTAATATTAATAACTCTACATTTTGCTCACACGTTTTATGATTTTTAGAATAAACAGCGACAATTTCCCTAAACATCATTAACTACTGATGTTTGTAATGGACATGCGCTCTGGTCTTATTTCAGATAAATATATTTTATGAACTCGATGCACGATACTCACGAATAGAACGCTGTCCGCCGTCTATCCGCATATTTCAACTCGAAAACTGCCAGGCAAATATTGATTAAATTTGGTATCTTTCCGATCTTGTTAAACATTACGTAGATGAGCTTCGTGCTTCAAATTATTAAATCGGACGTCTGCATTGATTACATGAGCTCAGCGCATACTTAAATAAAAAATAACATTAACAATACATTCTGATTTCTAAATTCACTCGGGCATTGGTAAGGTACGAGAATTAAGTGACCCTAGGGTAATCATTTTGTAAACTTTTAAAACGTGTAAAATTATAAAATTAATGTACATAAGGAAATAGGTGAATATGTGTGTAACATTTCGTAACATGCTTGCTTCTTCAAGATGAGAGTAGATGGCCTCTCGTCCAACCCCAAGATGTTAGACAATCCGGTGTTCGCTGTCTGTGACTGCTTATTCAATGCATTAGCATCTACCCCCAGCAAATGGAGACCGTATACTCCCTCTGTAACCTGAAGACGCCGATGGTGTGGTGACAACGAACCCACTTAAAAGAAGTTTGTCGTGTTTTAATGTTCACAGAAATGTTCAGTCTGGACTCACTGAAAGGTGTGTGCAGTTCCAGGGCTTGGTATGCCC